AAGGGTAGTCACACGTAGGTTAAGTTCATTTCTGCGAAGATATTTTAGTTCTCTATTTTGTCTTTTATAGTTTGTTTTAAAAGTTTTACTTGAGTTTTTTCTATGATACTTTTGATATTTATGTTGAGCTGAAGGTTCAGTTCTATTTCTAGGAAGGTTGGTGTCAACTTTTCATTTTTCCAAGTTTTTAGAAATGTTAAACTTTAAAACCACATTCTTCAATTTCAGTTGGATATTTTTTTGTAATAAAATAAATCTATTCTCTCCTATCTCGCCATAACATAGGCGGATTCTTTCGGTGAAGCTTACGTTGTTTAATATTAACATTAGGCTTAGTTGGCTTCTGTAGCATTTGTGATACTTGTCAAGATGAACAACAAAATTTCTTCAACACATAAACAACCTTCATACAATTCACAGTGGAAAATGAAAACCTTGCAGCCGAAAGCCTAAGTACTTTTCCTTCCTGTAGAGAGTTTCCTAAAGGTCTTTTTGACAGTGGTGTTAGGACTCGTCTACTTAAGATACTTAAAATAAGTTTTTCTAGATAAATTTCAAATATTAGCTCGTGATATATATATAGATATAGTGAATATTACGCTGGATTGTGCAACATAAATGTAAAATATGTAGGTCACAATTTCGATTCGCTAGTGATAAAGTGTTATATCATAAAGGACATAAATCCACAGACGTTATTAAATGACTATTGTTACAACTGACATTTTGTGTTGTAACCCGACGTCCTAAGGAGTTGTAAACAACAACAAAGTTCAGTTAATGTGTTATCCTATGACAATTTTCATAAACCCACATATTACTGTTAAATTTTATGTTCTGCTAACAAAGGTGTTCTTCATACTAGGCCTTGCTTCACAATCTACAAATATAAATATTGTTTCAACTAGGATTTTGTAATACAGTCAGCCTAATGAAATCCAGTACTCAGAGAAAGACTGTCGGCAGAGGCATGTGATGCACGAGTTTTACGAGTTATGAGATAAAACTCTGTTATAGTAGAAACTCATTACTAGACAATTAAATAATGATGTGAGTAGAAACATTATCAACTATCGCGTGATATTAATTCATACATATATTTCATGCTGTAACAGTTATTGCATTTTACAACATATGCTAAACATGCAGATTTGTTAAAGTTTACAAGTATATACATATTTTTAAATTCAGAGGGCGCCACAAAATATCATAAAATTAACAAATTAAATGTAAAATATGCAATTACTAAAGAAGGTTCCATTCGTAATATATATGCACCACACACACACACACACACACATAAGTATGAAAATAATATTAAAAGGGAAAATGCGTAACATAATATCATCTTTCTACCTTCAATTTTTATTTCCAATTTAAAAACTAGACTTATAAGATATACTGATATAACTGCTTACGATAATGTAGAAGTAAAAGCTTATGTTCTAAACGGTTATCCGTTATTTTATTACATATTGTTACGACATCGGGGTCACGTGACGCTAGTAACACGTCATTGACTTCTAGAAATATCCTGTTCCTTCATGAATGCTCTAGCGTTTACTAGATATGTGTAGTCTTGTATATATAAGACGGTCACAAAGTGACGGCAACAATATGTTTAATTGAACTGAATATTGTTGAGTCGAGCACGTGAGACGTTCGTTGAGAATTATAGCGTTTGTTTTAGCGCGACTGTCGAAATTAAGTGTATCGCAAAGTTATATTCAGAAAGAATAAACCAGAATAAACGGAACGAATTTACGGAAAATTAACTAACGAACGGAGACGTAACAATATATATATATATAT